AAAAATTAGGTTTGAGTCCTGGTCCTACCCCTACTCCCTATTTGATCTTGAATAAACTTAAAACTCTAAAAGACTTCTCATGAGAGCCTAAGGAGAGTTGAATCCTAAAGAATGAGAAGGAGACAGAGAAAGAATGTTCTAGGCAGAGGGAATAGCAAGTGCAAAGGACCCAAGGTAAGAAGATGCTTTAGACGTTCCGGGAATAAAAGGATAATGGCAAGTGTGGCCGAGACTTTGTGAGCATCTGGGGAGAGTAGTATGAGTACATTAGAGACGTAGTCAAAACACAGATAATCTAGGGCAGCGCTGTCCACTAGAAATACGCAAGTTGCATATGGAATTTAAAATTTTCCAGTAACCACATTTTTTTAAAGTAAAAAAGAAACAGGTGACATTAATTTTAATCATGTATTTTATTTAACTCAATATATGCAAAACACTATCATTTCAATATGTAACCAATATAAAAACGTTATGAATGAAATGTTTTACATTCTATTTTTTATTCTTATTCTTTCAAATCTGGTGTCTGTTTTATACTCCCAGCACATTTCACCTCAGGCTAGCCACATTCTAAGTGCTTAGTAGCCATATTTGGATAGTGCAGATCTAGACCTTGGTATGAAGGAGTTTATTTGTTTTTCTTTTTGGCCAATGGGAAGCCACTGAAGGGGTTCTAAGAAGGGAGCAAAATGATCTGGGATGTCCCTACTCGAACATTAGCTCCATAAGAACAAAAACCTTGTCCACCCTGTATTCCTAACACCTAACACAGAATACAAGCTCAATAACATTAGTGGAATGAATGAATAAGGGCAGTACTGAAAGCCACAAGAAGAGTCTTACAAATAACAGCCAGTCCTAGTCCAAGAACAACTTTTGTTTTCATTCGTTTGCCTTTCAATCAGATTATGATTAGAAGATATATTTTAGGTGGGCTGGTACCTCTAATATACTATTTTTTAATAAGCCCTCACAAAAATAACTCACTCTCATATCTCACTGGATGAGAATAAGCTATAGTAAGACTTTTTACACCTTAAGGTGTAAGCAGTTCATGTTGTCATTTTTTTAAGTGCCTAGTAAAACATTCCCTGTATATTCAATCTATTTAATAGTAACCAGATAGGAAAAAACAAACACCAAACCCCGTAGAAGAGTAAGGTACTTATAATCAGATGCATAATCATGAAGACAGTGAAAACTTTTGCAACTTTCTCTAGAGGCTATAGATTTGCTTTACTTCTGAATTCCCTCAAAAACACGGAGACTAAAATTAGAGCAGCCAGCTTGTGTTTGGTTTACAGGGGCTCATGCTGTCTTCCTACTCCTCCATCTGTTGAAGCAGTTTTTAGGTCCTGGCACGGAGCTAGAACATGTAAGAACCCAACTTGCCACTGTCCTGAGGATAGCAAAAACCTTTTACCCACAGATCTGAGTTTATTTAATATATTTTGTGTGCACAGCACATCAATTTGGAGTTCTTTACAGAGCAAATCACAACCTTATGTCATCTGGAAGCTAGCTTCTCAAGGGAAAATGCATAAAATAATACTAGCAAAGAAATGGAGAAAATGTTACTATTATTGCACTTAAAGTCTATTTTGCCACTTGACAGTAGCACTGTAATCATTATTAGAATAAATCACATCCCAAAGATTCCAGCAATGGAGGATGTTAGGAGGAAGTGAGGTCTTTATGTCATCTATTTACATTAAAAATGCTTACATGGTCAGATGTTACACAGCCTCTAACAATATTTACTTTCTTTTTTAGTGGGAACATTGTGGGTTATCATGTGATTGTTCCATGTTGCTCCTGCCTTCTCTCCTGTAACAACGGGCACTTCTGGATGTTTCACAGCCAGGCAGTTTATGGTATTAACAGACTAGACTCTACAGGTAAGAAACAATTGACTGGAACATTCCTATAACATTTGTCTATCAACATCTGAGTGAAACTCCAGTAGATCATTTCAGGACTCCCTCTGAGACTTTACCCGGATTGGATCTACTAGACTGAAACGTCAATCATATTATCCCAAACACTTATGGATACTAGTAGCCAAAATTCATCGCCATTTCTATTTTCATCATTTTATTTAAGAGCCTCAAACTTAGCAGGATTTCTTGCCCGCCCCCCCCCTTTTTTTTTCAGAGAGCAAAAGAGATAGAAATATCAATGATGAGAAAGAATCATTGATCGGCTGCTTCTTGCAAGCCCATGACTAGGGATTGAGCCCACAACCCGGGCATGTGCCCTTGACCAGAATTGAACCCAGGACTCTTCAGTCCTCAGGCCAACGCTCTATCCACTGAAGCAAACCAGCTAGGGCTCTTGTCCTTTTTAAATTAACTTTTTTTTAAAATCCTCATCTGAGGACAAGATTAGAGAGAGGAAGGGAGAGCAAGCGAGCATGAGAGAATCATTGATGTGAGAGGGAAACAATTGGTTGCCTTTTGGAGGTGCCCTGATCTGGAATCAAACTGGCAACTTTTGGGTGCACAGGACAATTCTCAACCAACTGAGCCACCACAGCCAGACTTAAATTAACATTTTAATTGCTTTAAATTCTTGTATTGATACATATTATCAAGTATGCATAATCTCATCGATGTGAGTTATTTTTCATAGCATGGTAGGGAAGACTTCTCATGAGAGGCTAAGGAGAGTTGAATCCTAAAGAATGAGAAGGAGACAGAGACATGTTACATACATCGAAGTACGTGTGTGCGTGCGTGTGTGTGTGTGTGTGTGTGTGTGTGTGTGTGTTGAAAAAAGAAAAATCACTAGACAATAAATCTGGAACCTACTATTGCAAAGATCCTATGATTAAAATATTAACTCATTCATCTTTACAATAGCTATGGTATTGCCTCTTGCAAGTCCACAACTGGGGATTGAGCCCACAACCCAGGCATGTGCCCTTGACCAGAATTGAACCCAGGACTCTTCAGTCCTCAGGCTGATGCTCTATCCACTGAGCCAAACCAGCTAGGGCTCTTGGTCTTTTTAAATTAACTTTTGTTTTTTAATCTTCATCCAAGGACAAGATTAGAGAGAGGAAGAGAGAGAGAGAGAACAATATTGTATATTTGATAGTCAAGTGTGTGAGTGTGTGTGTGTGTGTGTGTGTGTGGGTGTGTGTGTGTAAGAAGGGAGGGATCATCGTCTGGGGAGTTGGGAGGGAAGATGACTAGATAACCTGTATTTGGTGCTGTTGCTTTAAGATGAAAATGGACATTTTGACATCTATATTAATAAATTATGATGGAATTTTAGTCAAAGAAAATATTTAATATCAATATGTCATACTAATTATTTAGTAGGAAAATACTGCAACCAATTCTTAAAAGATATTTACATAATACATTTTATATTGTCTAGAGCCATTCAAGTTTTGTTATAGGACATGTTTTCAATGTCTAATACCTATTTATACAACAGACCAAGTTGACATTTAGTGGGACATTTTTAGTGGGAACAAGTTTAAAGAATTTGACAATCCAAATTGGCACTAACACTTGGGTTTTTTAATGTATATTTTAGTCTTCTTCAGAACTTAAAATATATTCCTTTTTTAAAAGTATGATTTCCCTTCACAGACTAAAAACAAGATCACAAATTGTAAAAGCTAGCTAGGTCGTCAGGATCTTTAAACCCTCCAGTTATGGTTGGGTTTTTAGAGACTCCGATTTTTTTTTTTTATCACCTGGCATTTAATTGTAGCTCTCAACCATGTGGGGGTCTTAATTTAAGACTCTGGCATGTTAAGAGGGCCGTTTTTGAGCAAGGACTTATCTGAACTCCCCTAGGTGAGATACAGGCTTCTAATTTAGGTTTCCAGTTTTATATTTGTGTTACTCGTGGGACACATTAAAGGAAGTTTCTGCTTTGATATTATTTTTTCTGCTTCATGGAATTTAAAACACAGGGTGGAGATTTTTCAATTTTGATTTACTTCTTAATATTGGTCAATTTTTCAAAGATAAAAGCCCGGCATTCTTGCATTTGCATTGAATCTAATCCATGAGAAACACATGTATCACGGGGTTTCCTTCCTCCCTTCTTAACAGAGGAAGGAAGGTGCTGCTTCTGACAGATCCAATCACTGAGTTTATTTTTTCTTCTTTGAACCAATTGTGCTGAGTTCCTCGTGTCTCTGTGTATCGACTCCAAGAATATTAGACTTCTCCCTTGTAACCCTAATACTGTGATTTAAAGCAGGATTTTCTAGATGCTTGGCATACAGCAGGGTTCCTCATGGCTGTTGGGACTCTCCTTGAAACACCTGAGTCAGCAGCATCAAAGGAGTACATACACAAGCTTTATAAGATTCTAGAATGTTTAGACTGAAAGGGCCCCAAGAAGTCTATGTTCTAGGCTGGCCTACACAGGTAGACCTGATTTCCTAAGAAATTCCTGAGGAAGCTTGGGAAACCTCAGTTCACCTTCGCTGGGGTGGGTAAATGCCTCCAAAGGCAAATTCACTTCAACTCTCCATTGACCTTTATGGGTTCTAACTGGCCATTAGATTTGGCCTAGTGATTCCGTACTATCCTGTCAGCTCTCAATGCCATCTGACCAGAAGCAAAACCATTCATTCTTGGGAAAAAGGTGTTTTATATTATAAACAATTCAAACAGACAAAAAATTACAGAAAACAATATGATAGGCATCTGTATACATCAAACAGATGCTAATTCCTTGCTTTTTTATATTCCAGTATCTCAACTAAGATAGATAGTTGATTGTTTCTGTTGTTTTAACAATACATGCTTGTACACAATACATGTACAATACATGCTTGTACACATCTCCTCAGGCAACTGTGCAAAATGGACAGTTAGAGGAAAGGATGGGCGATGGGTCATATTTGCAATATATATATAATTTTTTTAATTCACAAAATGGAATACTCTACAGAAATAAAAGAAAATGAGCTAAATCTGCACATAGGGGTATACGTAATCTCAAAAACATAATGTCTAGTGAAAACATAATGTCTAATTAGAGCCCTGGCTGGGTGGCTCAGTTGGCTGGAGCATCGTCCCACACACCAAAAAAGGTGCATACCTAATTCCCCATCAGGGTACATACCTAAGTTTGGGGTTGGATTCCTGGTCAGGGCATGCACGGGAGACAACCGATCAATGTTTCTCTCTTTCTTCCCCCCTTCCTCTCTTTCTAAAATCAATAAACATATCCTCAGGTGAGAATTGAAAGAAAAAGTAAAATTAGAAAAGATACATATAATACCATATTGTAAAATTTTAAATACACAAAACAACAATATATATAGTCTGGTTGCATGAATTTGTAGTAAAAGTAGTAAAAACATCCATGGTGCACTGATAAGGGGTGGAAACTGAGTTCAAACCAAATCTCCAAATCCTGGCTCATTCCATTCCACCAAATGGCCACAATCTTGGTATGTGTGGAGTGGGTATCCAGACTTGCTGAGTTGCTTGTGCCCACACTGCCAACTGGACAGCTTGAGATTTACTTTCTTGTAAGACTTCATTGGCTCTTCTAAAGGTCAATTTTTTTCCAATTTAGTGCTTTCAAGGTATAATATAGTACATGCCCAGAATAAACCATCTCATTATCCTCTACCATACATGTGGTCTTATATACAAATGCTGGATTCTTCAATATGAAAGCTGATTGACCTTTCACGATGAGAGGCTTTAGGTAATTTTATTTATTGTAGTGACAGCTACCATCTAGTTCTAACGTTGACAATTCTACCTTGACAACCTCTAGACTAAAATCCACGAATATCAGGAATTATTGTTCATATTGTAACTGGCTCCAAAACCTTGCTTTTTTTAATCAGAAAAAAAGGCACCAGCTATTTCCATGCTTGTTGAAGAGATGAGTGACTTATTCAAGTCTTTTCCCTCCAAAGAAATACTTAATCTAAAAGGATCTTGTGAGATCTCCATTCATTCAAATAGATTTGAAAAGTATCACTGTAGAGTTATTATGGCATAATGTAGCTGGAGGCAAGCTTTGAGTAAATGGATTCGTAAGACCCTTTTGAGTCCTAAGATTTTAGAATTCAAGCCCTTGCTTAAAACGGTTGAAGAATATGTATGTCCTAGATGAATTATATTAGATAATTTTATTTGTGGTACATTCTTTCAATGCTTTTTCTCTTTACTGCTAACACTATGGTTTAATATAACAACATTAACATAAAGGTTTCATATATCATGTTCTGAGTTATAACAGTAATGAGCACCAAATAACTTTGTAACCTTTTCTTTTCAGGTGTTAACTTCCTACTTTGGGGCAACTTGCCAGAGATAGAAGAAAGTGCAGATGAAGACATGTTAGATATCTCAGCAGAGGAGTGTATTAGATGAATAGGAGAATAGACTTATGATAGATATAATATTTGGACTTTTTACTATTTAAAATGTATATTAATGGATCAACTTCAAATTGTTAGTAAGGATTTTCCAGTGATTTATTTTTTTAGAAAACCAAAATGGGGCATTTGTTGATTTATTTATTTGCTGTCTTAAATTAATTACCTGTTTAATTTGAGCCAATGTAGTTCTTTTCTTCTACTTCTACTTCTTTTTCTTCCTCTCTCCATTCATCAGCCCAGTATAGGTGTATTCTTAACTTCACATAAGAGACTTTTTTCATGTGCCATTCAGCTACCTCCCAATCTGGGGAAGTTTTTCTTACAACTAGATGCCAGGTATATTATTTTACATTCCTGAATAAGGAGCATTAGTACCCACACATATATCAACTGTGCATATATCCATGCATAAATCCACACATATAACCATGTATACATATGTGATGCTCAACTTGGAAATAAACCTTAACAGAGAATTTTAAAAAAACAAGCTGATAGGTTTCCATGGGTACTAGTTATCATATGTTATTTTGGTGACAACTACTTTAATGTGGAACAAGACTTTGTGAATCAACAAATATAACACATTTTTAAATGTATGGAGAAATCCTCTTGATTCCTCAGCATGATGTTAGATAAATAAATTTGTCAGAAAATTATCAATATATATACTGTGTACCAATATTATTTATTTGCCTTCTTCTAAAGTCATATGGATATTGTATTATGAAAGCCAGATAAACCAAACCTCTGTCTTTAAATTACCTCATTCTCTAGAGCTTTCTCTATAAGTAGCAAATTTTAAATATGAGTAATCTCAGTCCCAACCCTTAAATAGAAAAACAAAAACAAAATCTAAAGAAGTGGTTTGTTTAAGCCCTTGTGCATTATAAAGAGAGTTTGTTCTTTTGAAAGCTACATTCGGAGCCACACAGAAGTAGGAAACGGGGATAGTGTTGGATTCTGGTCTTATGTATAGCTAAAATCAATGTATAGCCTCAACTAGTATCTCAATTGTAGGTATTTTGTCAATAATGATACCAAAACAGACTGAGTTGCGGTTTTGTAAATAAACTATTGTCCTGAAAATGATCAGCCTTCCTTTAATTTTTTATTGTACCTACTTTTCTTACCTAAAAATATTAAAGTATCGAATATAGTCGCTAACATGTTTTGAGTGCTTACTGTGTGCCAGACACTGTTGTAAACGCTTTACACATTTAACCCACTTATTCCTCTTATTCCATAGGAGGTAGGTGCCATTGTTTCTCCTTCGTTACTGATAAGGCAGGTGAGGCCTGGAGAGGTGAGGTAGTTCGTCCAAGGCCACTTAACCTGGTCAGAGGAATGGCCAGATTCAAACTCAGGCAGATCTGCTCTTCATTTTCATACTGTCGCCCCTGAGCAACTTCAGATAACAACTGCCATGTTACGTGAGGGCCTCAGTGACTGATTTCAAGATTAAGCGAACTCACACTGGGTCACCGGGTAAAAGTGGCCTGTGGACTCTGGCAGTCATTTACTGTAAACCAAGATAGGAAATGCTGTTACCAGTACCTGAGAAACTTTTCCAAAAGTCTTTCAGACTGACCATCAGCACTGACAGGGTCACCAAAAGAACCGAAGGGTTGAGTGGAACAGTTTGTTTTTTGATTTGGGATTTTTTTCTTTAAGCTTTCAAAGACTTTCTGAAATAAGGTGGCATCGTGGATAAATAAAAAATGTATAAATTGATACTATATTACGTATACTGCTTCAGTTAATCTGTTCAATGAGAGAAGAAAACTTTAATGCTAAAGTAGAGGATGTGGAAAATTTAAATTCAACAGAGTTCATCTGGTTTCCTTCTGCTCGAGCCTGGTTGACTGGGGGGCTCTTTGAAGAGCAAAAGCGAGACAAGCGCTGATTGAAGCAAGCCCCAAACGCAATTCCACTCCAGCAGGAAAATATTTCGAATTACACAGCTACTTTTTGGCAAACTGAGCTATGGGAAGGCCAAGTCTAAGCTGAAAATGGGTTCACAATGTTTTATCTAGAGAAATATACTCATGACCCTGTTTTTTAATAAAAGCAAATTACACACTCTGGTCCAAAGACCGAAGCAAAATCACATGTGTGAATTTAGCCAATTCCTAGGCCTAGAAAATCCATTGCGGCTTTGGTTCTCTTCTAATATTTGATTCGATTCAACAAACCTGTATTATGCCCCTGTGGTGTACTGAGAATTGCACAGTGACAGGCTCCTGCTTGCCTTCATGGTATGGGGGAGAGAATAGAACTTCTACTTAATGCATAGGGTTAAGTGATTTATCAAAGGCATTCTTAAAGTTCAATGACTCCACAGATGAAAGATCACTCATTCTGAGTAGTAGGAGAGAGTGGGAGTTGAGAAAAGTACACAGAAAAAATGATACTTGAGCCAGGCTCTGAAGCACCGTCAGGGGTTTGCCAGCTGGGATGGAAGTCCTGGAGACAATGGTATAAAGAAATAGACCAGATTTAGAAGTATCTGGCTTATTTGGTAAATTACAAGTGGCCTTCTATACCTTCCAAGACATGTAATGAGAATTCATTAGAAGATAAAGCTACCAGGAAAGCTTGGGATCATGTGATGAAGATTATTCTGTGCCATTGTAAGTGTAGACTTGATCCAGGAGCAATGTAGAGTTAGTGAAGCTTTTAATGAAGCAAGAGAATAAAATGATCAGATTTAGGATGCTAGCTCTGATGGTAAAGTGCAGTCAAGTTTCATTTCCTAGTGTCCTTTTTTGATGCACTGAACAACTTGATCATGAAAATTATATTTATTGCTTTTACCCTTTGAACATATACAGGCTTTTAAGTTCCCTGAATTTCTTGCCTTTCATGAAACATCTGGTCTGCAGTGGGGCAGGGTGCTTTTTTCCCCTGTTCCATCTTGTTATTCCTGAAGTTCAGAAGTTCAAAGAAGGGACAGTGAGTCATCAGCTCACTCACTATGGCTCCTTCCCTCCCCTCCCTCCCCCCCGCCCCTTTATCTTTGTCCTCAAGTTAGTTTCTCAATCTCAAACTCAGGCACTGATGGGTGAAGCCTAATATTAAAGCCGTAATATTTGAATAATCCCTGGCTCTGAACACCAGGTCTTTAAATATTACTAATCTGGGAGATTATCCCACAAAGACTGCTCTTTTGACCTCTGAGTCACATGTGGCTGATAAAGAAGGATCTGTATTTCTTTTCTCCATAAGGAGGGAGTGACTATAATACATAAATCATTATATATAAAATATCTAACTAATCTATAATAATAAAAGCATAATATGCTAATTAGACTGGGCAACTTTCCAGATGACCTTCTGGACGAAGCCGCTGCTGCGAGGGAAGCCCGGGTCCCGGGTGCCAGAGGGAAGCCTACTCTTGCACGAATTCTGTGCATCAGGCCTCTAGTTAGAACATAGAAGGGGAGTGGGGAAAGGTAGAAGAGAATATGGATTAAATACTCTTACTTCAGCCCTGGCCCGGTAGTTCAGTTGGGAAGAGTGTTGTCCTGATACTCCAAGGTTGCAGGCCCTGGTCAGGGCAGACAGAATAAACCAATGAGTATATGAATAAGTGGAACAACAAACCTCTCTCTCTCGCTCTCTCTCTCTCTCTCTCTCTCTCCCTCCCCTCCTTTTTCTCAAATCAATTTTTAAAAAATTAGTCTTGCTTAGGTGATGCATTACTCGATGAAGGCTTTCTCTATTTTAACATTCATGCTTATGAAAGGAAATGGTTTCCTTTTCTGCCTTTTTTTTTTTAACTTTAAAAGCAGCCTAAACCATAGTTTCTTTCTTGCCTGGTATTGAGTGTATGCCAAATCTACCCTAAAATGCACAGATGGAAAAAATTAGTCTACGTCTGTGGTACCTCTGGGGTGGAATATTTTTAGGACTTAAATCTTTAGCTAAAGATTTTTTCTTCCAAGACTCTCATAGAATCATTTTATTGTCATCCAATGGATAAACTTGCTGAGATAAAAATTAATAGCATGTGTTTGTATATCCCTTTATAGTTTATTATGATCTTTCACATACACCTTAATTTAGTCCTCAAAATAACCTTGGAAGTTATTCCCATTTTACCAATTAAGAAAGAAACCCTTAGTCTTGACACTTAAAGTTAGAAGAATTTAAACTTGAACGTGGGCCTTCTCACCTTAATTTAGGATTCTTTCCTACCTCCTTAACCTACCCTCAACCCAAAGTCCATTTTTCTCTCAGTAGATGTAAAACTTAGGACAAATTCTCTTTCACTTTCAACCTCAAAGCCTAACTACTCTTGTTAATTAATCCATTCAACAAATCTTTACTGAATGCTGACAGTAGGAAAAATAGAAGCTGAGGATACAGAATTAAATAAGACCGAGCCACTGCTCTCATGTGGAGCTAACATTCTGTTGAAGAGAAGGAAGAAAGTGAGCTAACACTTATTGAGGACTTACTGTATGCCCAGCACTGTTCTAAGGGCTTTACATGTAACAACACTAAGAGGCAAATCCTATTATTATCCTTACCATACAGTTCAGAAAACAGGTGTAGAGGGGTTAAAGAATATGCCCAATGACACCACTCTGAGATTAGGAGGGGCCAGAATGACCGTGTTTTCTTTTTATTTTCCCATGTAGTTGTCTTCCGTGCAAATAAAGTCCAGTGTTTCATCAACATGCTTCCACATCTTCCCCTATGAGACCTTAGTTGATTTGAAGTTAAGATGGTGGCACTAGCATCTCCCTTTTCAGTCAGGGAGATGTGGTATGCCTATAAATGAGAAGAATGCTACTCTTATACACAATGGAGGAAGAAGAAAAAAAAACTATGCAAAACTTAATTTCCAGCTTTGCTGCACTTCTGCCTGGAAATGAAGTCTTTTGTGCCAGTACACATTTTTATCTTACAAGCAGCAAAAGATCACTAAAGAGCAAATACCTATTCTTTTTTTAAATATATTTTATTGATTTTTTTTCAGAGAGGAAGGGAGAGGGATAGTGAGTTGGAAACATCCATGAGAGAGAAACATCGATCAGCTGCCTCCTGCACGCCCCGTACTAGGGATGTGCCCGCAACCAAAGTACATGCCCTTGACAAGAATCGAACCTGGGACCCTTGAGTCCGCAAGCCAACGCTCTATCCACTGAGCCAAACTGGTTAGGGCCAAATACCTAGTCTTTAAACTTTTTGTATGTCTCAAATATTTCATAACAAAAAGTGAATTAAATGATCACCTTTGCCAGTTGCTCTAGTCGCAGCCTTCCCTGTAAGCTTTTATTTGAAATGGATGTATATGGAATTTCAGAAGCAGCCCTGCATCAAATGAACACTACTAAATCTTCATAGCGAGATTATGTGTTTATTATGAGAGAAGCACAAACAGGAATCAAATCCATATTCAAATTTTGCCTTTTGAGACTTACAGAAGAGTGGCTGATACATATCTAAAGATTAATTGGACCTGCCAAATACGGACACCACTGAAGTTTGCCCACCAGACTGCTTCTCCACACTTCCATTCACACAGCCCACTTCCTCTGGAAAGAGGCCCATGGGAAGAGTAGACATATGGGAATGATTCACTTGGGGAAAACTGTATCCAGAATATTAAAACAGTTTTCTCTCTGTCTCTTGCCATAATTTTTCTAGCCAAAGGAACCACCTGCTATTATCGCGGTGACACCTGAAAAGCTTTCTGTATATTGCAGGAGATTGCTCATGCGTGGGTAGATTTCCAGGCTGTTCAGTGGTATTTTAAAAAATGCTTTTTGGGGGGGAGATATATTCTCAGAGACTGGAACATTGCCTCGTCTTATCAAAATTGCTCTTTAGCCTTGTTCACAAACACCTTACAACACTGAGCCCAGATGGAATTTGGTAGAAGACATACTGAGCTAATTTCCTTTGCATGATGTTACCCAGAGAAACCAAGCTGTCAGCAGCCTGAAGAACAAGCCATCGGAGAGAGATGGTGGCCAAAGCCATGGGAGGCAGGAAAGATTGAGGAGCTTGCCCTTCAAGAAATTCTTTCCATCCTCCAAATTCATATTTTTAAATGAAAATTTATCACCAAAAAAAAA